GTCATTTGTTCTTTTTTGTAAAATGATCTTTGAAAGATGTTTCTTAATAACTGAAAGGACTTATTATAACTGGCTTTCATATCTGTACTCTGTAGACTTTAGGTACTATTTTCACTCTAAAGCTCAACTCGTGCATTTTGTCAGGAAATCATTTGTATGGTTTCAGGATTGTGCTGTTGTAATCGTCGCACATAAGAATGTGACATCATCTTTTTCCTGATTGAGCCGCACCCTGTACACTACCTCAGATACGTCTGGTGTTTCTCACTGTTTTACTGATGTCTTTTTCCAGATGGGACCAAACAACAGACCCGACCACAGGTCTGGAAGCACGACAAAAGGAAAACTCAACTATTTGATGGATCAGAGTTACCAGGCGTTAGGGTGTTTGATTGCAAATGTGAGAAAAGTTGAATGCAAAACTGAATGATTCCCAGGGTCGATGTCACGTGAGTCAGCATCAGTTGAAGAGCCCAGAGAAGAGATACTGTTCCCTGCATAATGGGAAATGTAGGATCTTATATTTTTGGAGCTTGATCCATATGTTTTGGTCTCTACTGCTTTGATTTTGTTAATTGTAATATTAGTTTGTATGAGTGTGTGTGTCAGCTGTATGGAAGAGCAATATTAAATAAATAAATATAAAGTGATTTTTATTTGGTGCATTAGAACTATTGCATGAGCATGTCCATTATACAAATAACTAAAAATTACATCTGATGCATATATGAATTGCTTATTGAAATGTTATGATTGATAATGCAGTTAAAGTGGTTGTATTTGAAATATAAAAGTCAAAGAGGGTATCCAATGAGTGAATAATGATTCTGTTACTGCTGTGTGGGTCAAACTGTGTACAGCAATGTTGTCAATATTGCATCTGGGATGTGTTACCAGATGTCTAAACTTCAGAGAACACTCATTCCCCCAACACAAGCCTTGAATGAATATTGTTAAGTATAATGAAGTGTTGTGTTCAGGCCCCTGCTCATGCTGATCTTGTGATAGGGGAAAGCACATTCCCTCTACATTACTTGCCAAGTAAGTGTGTGTGTGTGTGTGTGTGTGTTTGTGTGTTGCAGCAGGGAATCCTACACAGACGAAAAACAATAAATCACATTTTAGCAGGATCATGTGATTAATGGAGGGAGAGCAGTGAAGCGTTTGGAAACCTCTGCTGACCAGACTTGATCAAAATTTGCAGTTTCTGAAGAACATATAATCACATGGTGTAAAAAAAAAAAGATGAACTGTTCAGGTTTAGACATTTTAACACCACATACATCAGAATCAATTATGTCAATATAATGACATGCATGTTATTGGACGGACAACAGTCCCACCTGCTGGACAGAACTAAAGTCTACACTGAATGATTTAAACAAGGTGCACTTTATTTCATTATGATAAGAAGTGAACATATGTTTTACACTGAAAACTGAGTGTCATATAAACTTTTTAAAGGTAATCAAAAATGGTCCCTCTGAACAACTTGTGTGTAAAATATAATAAACCAATCTTGGTATAAAACAGGGCACATGAAGAAAGTTGTGCAAAAAAGCAGAACTAGAAAAAATAGATCGCAGAAATTTAAACGGCACTTTACATAAAATCGGACTGATTAAAAAAAAAAGTGTGATCTATGACAGAGATCATCCCAGATTCAGTTGGTCTTTCCAATAAAGGCATGTAGTGCTCTCAATTCTAAAATCTGTAACAGTGAAGGAAAAATAGAAAAATAACCAGAGTAAAGATAACCTGAGGCAAGAACGATCTTGAGTGAGTAATTAAAGCTCAATTACAGACAACTTCAGATGTTTCATAATGAAAATCAACATTTAGGCAACTTGTAAAGTGGCTTAAAGGAACAAAATATATCTATTTTCCCCCGTCAATGGCTTTAATATGATTTTGATTGTACACAATCCTATAAAAGCATCCTACCTTATTTTGGCTTCCAATTTTAAATGTATGGTTGTCAGCATTTCAAAACTCAAGCAGAGAAATTTGAGGCTAAAGCTACGTTTCCTCACAGTGCAACAAGAAGAAGCTATAGAACCAGTGTTGACAGACTTCCCTAGCTGAAGTCTCTGTCAGGGAGCACCAGTGGGGCCACCAGGGTCCACAGGTAAATTGCCAAGCCAAGCCAGCTGGAGCCGATCTTCACCCACACGGCCGGCATGCTGGTCTGCATGGTCTGCATGGCCTCGTAGTCGGGCCTGGTGAGCCAGGAACAAGGTCAGAGGGTAGTCGGCTTTGTCTGTCAGTAGGTTAGTCATAAAAGAAGGAATAGCAGATACTCACTTGTACCAGTTGGTGAGTGTCATCATGATGTAGAGAGAAGCCAGGAAGAGGCTGAAGTGAAAGAAGGAGTAGCTGTAGGTGACTCCGTTCTCCTCGTTGTCCACAGCCCGTCGCACTCCGTCCTCTCCGGAAGAGGCCTCGAAGTCGGTGGTCAGACCCTGGTCTTCCTCAGTCTGCATCAGCTTGTTCACCTGGGCGTTGTTAGAGGAGCGGATGCTGTGGTGGTTGAAAGCACAAGGACTCGTCTTGACTTATGTGCCTCTGACATTAGTTTCATAGCAACACAAATGACAGTTAATTAATTCTGAAAATCTCCCACTTCCACTAAAGGTTTGAGGTTTAATTAATTTTTTTCCCAGGTTGATCGAACGTTGGAGAAACACATTAATGCTGCCAATCTCTTGTTCTACCAAATCCCAAAGGATCTGTAATGAATTCCGATCAGGAGACTGCAGAGAAAGGTTCGAGACGACTTTTACTTTGAGACATGGAGAATTACTCTGCTGGAGCCAGGACATTAGAGGAGGGTAAACCACATGCAGCCTGGACTGTTGACACGAGGCAGGTTGTCTCCCTGGATCAATCAGTCTTCAGCCTCACATTTCTATTTTCTGGACGTGTTGTTCTCACTCTGAGATGCTTTTTCAGCTCACCACAGTTATAAAGAGCGAGTTACTGTAGTTTCTCGGTCAGCTCCAAGCAGTCTGATCATTCTCCTCTGTCCTCTCTCATCAACAAGCTGTTTCTGCCCACAGAACTGCTGCTTACTGGATTTTTTCCTTTTTGGTTTTTGATGCCAAAAAAAAAAAAAACCTCTTCTGACTAAACTCCAGGGACTATTATGTGTGAAAATCCCAGGAGATCAGCAGTTTCAGAAAGTCAAAGTCGCTGTGATCAAATTCTTTCTCCATTCTGAGGTTTGATGTGCACTTTCACTGAAACTCCTGTCCTGCAACTTCCCTTTTCTGAATTGTATGCAGCTACACGATGGGCTGAGTGGATTATTTCCGGACTATAAGCATTCTGAATAATAATCTATTTACAGCATTTACATACAGACACATGACCAATTAAAGTAAAGAGAGTAACAGAGAAACAGGATGTCAATGCTGCCCTCCACAGGACATGAGGGGTCACTAAAGGATTTGTATTTAAAAGGAAATGAATCACAGTCCTCAGTTCTCAACCCAGTTCAACACCTAAAGGAGATTTTTGACTGAGTGTTAAAGAGCATCTATTAAATCTTCCCTCAATTTCAAAGATAAGTTTTTCCTTTAATTTATCCGTCAATACATTTTCTTACTGCACTATATGCAGTGATATGTTTTAAATTCTACTTTATAATAGCTATCTTAAATCAATTAAGCGCAGGGTTAGAGGGTTCAGCTTCTCGTATTCATGGGCAGTGTTTACTTTTTCTTTTCTGAAGGCAAGATGGCTGCTTTTAAAAACTCCAGTGGTGACAGTAAAATACCTTGCATAAAGAGTGCAGAACAAGAAGATGATCAATCCCACAATGCTTTGTGCGTCCCACCACTGGACACTTGGAGCAGCGGGGGTAGGAGGAGCGGGCCCTGGTGGTGGGGTTGGACCTGCAGGCTGGACCAGACTCAACAGGCTGGGGTTACACTGCCGGTCTGAGGTTGGAAACAGGAATCAGTGTGAATACTTGACATCATGTGTCTATAAAAGCCGCAGAGGTTTGAAGTTAAAGGTTTTGAATAAAATGATTCTGTGCTGTGACTCTGACTCTCAAGGCTTACTGGGGTTGTTGGTCATGGCTGACCAGGTGATGTACATGGTGTAGAGGGAGATGAGGGAGGCCTGGAGCAGCCCTGAGCTGGGCTGAGCATCCTGCAGAGATAGAGGCATGAGGATGAGTCAGAAAATAACTCCTCGGTGGTTCAGACATTTTGTCCTCACTCAGAGACAGATGGTTATTTTTTTTTAGCTAGCTTGACTCCGAGATTGAGCATTAAAGAACATTTATTTTTGACAGACCCCTGTGCAATAGATAAGAGGTTAAATTATTCACAATTGTATGATCTTTCACTAGCTGTATTATTTTTAATTGAGGTGTTGGGTAATTGCTCTTTAGTGCAACCTCAACCCTGCATTGTTGAACTACTAAACCACACACAGTTGCAGCAGTGGGGTTCAGGACGAGTCATACAACTAATAACAGAGGATGCAGTGGTCATCCTCCACAAATGACAAATGCAGTCACTGTTTACGCAGGCTTGTATTGAAAGGAATCGTCTGTGGAAACTGGTGCATAAGATGGTTTGAGTCCAAGAAGAAAACTATTACTCATAAAACAGCAAAATACTACAAGAAGATATTTTGCCAGAAAACATGAAAAGAGGTCTGATGAGTGTTGGCAGCACTTTGTCTGATCAAATAAAACCAAAGTCAATTGGTTTGAAATTAATTGGTTTGGATCCAATGGAGTCCTGCATGTTTGGTGTGGACCTGACCAGGACTAACACAGAGACTGAGTGTTGACAGTGAAACATGGAGGTGGGAGCACACTGATGAAAAAAGTGAAGACTGTTTCCTGTCCCCTGACTTGACTCTAATCGAACAGAAATTGGATCCAGCAATAAAACCAGCAAAGAGCAGCTGAAAAGAAAGGAAGCATCTGTGAAGAACAACAGAACAACTCTCTATAGATCCAACACTGGTATCATGAAAACTCAAGAGGATCGCATCTGTCATCCAGAACAAAGGTGGACATACAACATATATATAAAATAAAAGGACTGAATGGAGGATGGACTGACTCCAGTTGCAGATGGTTCTTAAATGTAAGCCTCTCATTACAGTTTCTGTTCTATAAATGAATTAGCTTTATTCTTTCATTTCAATATTTTTATAGTTATTTTTTATATTCTATTTCATTTTTAATATTCTATTTTTTATTTATTTTTTCACTGTGTAATTTTCTGAGCATGGCTAGAGGGGAGCCTGAGACTCAAGCATTTTATTGCAAGCAACTGCTAAATGTAATTGCATATGACAATAAACCTTTGAATCTTGCTGTTTAACAATATTCTGTATCAGTCCATAAATAGCCATACGTCTACATTACCTGAACTTTGGGAAGAATGGAGACGATGGACACGATGATGCAGAAGATGAAGTTGAGGCTGATGAAGACCTTGTGCTCGGTGCAGTCGTCAGCTTTGGTATAAAACACGTAGAAGAGCACGACAGCAGTGAAGGCCAGGACGTAGTGGACGATGGTGAAAGAGAGCAGAGCTGCGAGATAAACAAACATCAACGTCATTATACGAATGAAACCTGACAGTAAAACTGCAGCTGGAGTCTGGTGAGTGTTTTACATTGTTTGCACTGGTTAGTTCTGTACAACAAGACTCTCCCATCAAAACTCACACACAAGTGTATTTCACGCAGTTTGATTTATTACATAACTGTTGTGTAATCTGTCAATGTCACTGGCACCAAAAGGCTAATCTGAATTGTAATTCAATGTTCCAGTTTCACACACACACATCTATATGATTTATTGACAAAGGTATAATTAACTTTTGTGCAGCTTTCTAATGTGAGAACTTGCAGGGAAATATTTGTTGGAATGAAACATGCATTTTCTACATGCACTTAAAGGTTTATGACATTAGATGGAGAGTATGTGGCCTTTCTACCTGCGAACCAGCACTTGGAGTTTCCATTCTCTGCCTTCTCCAGCCAGGACTGGTTCCAGGAATGGGCGAAATCCACGAGTAGGATGAGCTGGATGACGATGAAGATGAAGGAGCCCACCATGCCGAAGTAATACCACACTGAGCGCACACAGGGAAGAGGACTGACTCAGGAAATTGTAGGTTTTTAAATATTTCTATTAATTACATTGTTTGATGGCTACATGTGGGTGTTTACCATGAAAACAGAAGAAAGAACACAGAACATGAAACATGTCACATATTCTCCCTTAATACATTATTCTAAACCTTTAAGTTCTGATATGAATCACAGACTTTCTGAGCAAAGGAAGTTTATTTTATTCTAAGCACGCATTCACTGCCAACTCTACCATTGAAACGTATTTTGTTGAACGAGTGTTTTGATATTGATCCCTAATTTTGACTTGAATTCCAAACATGTTAATTATAGCAATAACATAACAGTTTAGTGGGATCATGGGAGTTGCTCTCATCACCACTGCTTGTTTGTTTCTGTTTTTTTTAACCAGGAGCAGAATTATCCTCAGAGGTAATCTCCTCCTCTCCAAAACAGACACATTGATTAAATCCATAAAGCAATACTGAATAAAACAGCTTCACTTTAAACATCTGTGTTTCTCTGATGCTGTTTGGAAAGTCAATGGAATGAGCTGAGCTGATTTGCTCAGCTTGTTTCGCTGATGCCTCCAGACATTCAGGGACCTTCATCCAATAAAAATATATAGTTTACGTTTAAGTAAAACCAATCAATGTCAATAAAGTTTTGTAAAATGAATAACCCTAACCCTAGATGTGTCCTAGTTTCATACCTGTATTAAAGTCGCCGTCTGGAATGAAGAAAGCTCCCACTGTTAAGCCGACCAGCACCAAGAACTTGAAGAACCAGAAACTGAGGAGAAACAAAATCAAATGTATTTTACACAGTGAAAACACAATCTTAAGAGAAAGCAGTGTCCATGTTTGGCCACCAGAGAGCAGCATTCTCTCATTATACACATATGCAAGCACTAACCCATTCTGGATGGAGGCTCGAGGGTCCTTGCTGCTGCGCACTCGGATCATGATGATGGAGAACAGGAAGAAGAAACAGGCCATGGCGAAGCACATGCGGTACACCGACTTGTAGCCCACGATGATGTCACAGTTCACCTTGTTCGCTATGCCGGGTATGGTCGTCCCGCCAACGCAGAATCCTGGAATCTGAAGGGTTGAAGACAAACAATGAAATACCGGGTTAGACAGGCCAAGATTACCGTCTATAGCATAATGGAATCTAAAAAGATAGATTGTGACAGAAATGATAACAACATATTTCCAAACATCCTGTCCAGCTGCTGTACAGCATCACTGTTGCTGGGTTACAGACTTATGAAAGCACTGTATTTTCCATCTTCATCCTTTAATTGGTACTAACATGTGGGTTCAGAAATGCTCTTATTCGATGATTAAGGGTGCCTGATGCAACAGACCCACATCCCCACGTGGATAATTACATTCGACCTAACCCAGTCTTCTCTAATGTACCTTTTTAAGATGTTCTTCCATGCCTGGGAGAATCATTATAACAGAGACCATAGTGCCGAGCATCAGCAGGAAGGAGAAGGCCAACCGGCTTATGGTGGAGTTGAATGTCGAAGGGCAGCATGATGACAGGAGGCAGGAGGCCGAGCCGCACAAACAGGACGCCTGGAGAAGAGGCAGAGGAAGAATTAGCAGGGCATGCATACAGAGCCATATTTTATGAACATCGTGGACAAGGCTCTGGGTTGTGGGATAATCAGGGTAATGCATGCATGGCTTGCAAATATAAATGTGGAACAAGAAAAGAAGAAAAAACATTGTGTCTGCTGTCAGGGCAACCATCGTCCGGCTTAAGCACACGTCCAGAGAAGCAGAGATAAATGATGATTCACAGAGGCAGTAATCACGTATGCCATAATAACAAATCTCTGCCTCTCTCTCTTTGTTTCTTGACAAGGACTGTGAAACAGGATCACAGAGGATTCCTGTAAGATTCAGATGGCTGACACATTCGTGAAGCACCGAGGCAGAGACTCACTGTGGCGGAGATCATCCATCCTTCACTAAACGTGAGTATATGAGCCCAAGCTTCTACGAGAAATGAATGCTGCAGCTGTGAGCTGACGAATCCAGTTCCCATGGTTCACACTGGCCTATGTTACACTGCTCTGGCAAAAAACAACTCCAACAAAACAGCTTCAAAACAGCCGAGGCAAAAACCGCTCATACTCTAAGTACTAAAGAGTATTTCTCGGAACTCATAGTGATAACAGGGAATATTAAACATCAAAGCACCCATATAATGAGTCTGAGGTTTTATTTTACAACACTGACACAGGCTGGAGATCAAACTTTAATATTTTCTGGTTCAATGTGTCTTTATTACCACCAAGGGGTAATGAATTCTGCAGCCAGCAGTAACCACACAATACCAATAAATACATCAACAATATAATTACATCACAGTGAGACATTTAAAAAGGTTGATGGCAGCAAAGACCAGCGACTTTTTAAATCTATTAATTCTGCTTCATGTGGTAGATTAATCTACAGCCAGACGGAAGCAATAACAGCTCAGTAAACTGTGGGTGATTCAAATCATCTGGGATTGTTCCGACCTTCTTGAATTTGTACAGGTGATGAAGGTCATTTAGGGTCATACCAGCAATTTTTCAGAAAACATTTACAATATCCTACAACTGCTCTTTATTTTTGAGGGCAAGTGACCCACACCAGTAGATGGAATAAACCAGATCTGATCAAACAAGAATAAAGTGTGATATTGACATTAACATTATGACGCATACGATAAAAATACATGTACTGATGAGCCTCTAAACACACAGCATCCACAGAGGCTTGAAGATCAGCTGTTACATCAGCAGTTATTGTGCTGCTGCACCAGCTCAACAGCCCGATCATTAATCAGCACAGGAAAGATAACAATTAGATTCTTCCTTAAATCAATTTTCGTTTCTTTAGTGTTGGAAACATTAATGTCCAAGAAGGACAACTTGCACCAGTGTGTTTGATCATCACTGCTGAATAGAGACAGAACGACTGAGTCTTCACTGAACTCTGACACACCGCCGCTACATGTAGCCACAACCAGCACCATTGTTATTGATTTAAGTATTAAACCGTGTCCAGTGCTGAAAGCTGGCACCCTGTACTTTCTGATTTATGTCGAACCTCTGCCAGCTTGTACAATAACTCCCCGTGTTTAGAAAACACTTCATAACAGAGCAATCACAGTGGTTGTGGCACTTACACAGAGATATTGTCAAGACATTCGTAGCAAAACCTGATGTCCTGCTTCAACACTGAATCACAGCAGATGTTTGGAGGATAACCAGTAAATCTCTGGAAACCAATCTGCTTTAGAACTTCCTCTTTGTGTTGTTTTACAGCTGTGACACACTTTGTTCTATCTCTTATCAGTAACTTACTGCACTGTGAGAAGCAGTCTGTTTGGCAGATGCTAATTGTAAATGTCATGATTGACAGGCTGAGACTGAGTCGTGATTGGTTGAGCGCTTGTTCCTACGGGACTTCTCTCTCCACATGCACAAGATGGCAGCGTCCTTATCTGCAATATTTTGGTTTAATTTCTGAACAGTGTACATGGACGTCTTTATTTCCAGTCTATGGCCTTTATCAGAATGCAACTTAAAGGGGCAATGTGTAGAGTTTAGTGACATCTAGAGGTGAATTTGCATGTTGCAGCTGAACACCCCTCACCTCACCCTCCCCTTCCAAACATGAAAGACAACCTGTGGTAGCTTCAGTTGTCATAAAAACTCAAAACGTTTTTAGTTTGTCCAGTTTGGACGACAGTAAAAAAAACATGGCGGCCTCCGTAGAGAGGACCCCCTTCCAATTTAAATGTAAAGTATTTATATATAGGGTTCATTATAGGGTAACGCAAACAACAATTCATACAATTTTGATTAAACACTCTAGTGATTAACATCACAAGGATTATTTTATATTCAATTTCTGCCAATGGATCCCTTTTAAATAATCTTAACACACTGGACCTTTAACAGTAACTGCATCTTCATCTTCACCAGTGATACATGTCATATTGATAGAATAGAACACACCTGTATTTGATTTACATTTGTTCACAGTTTAGATATAATATAATAAGAAAACTACACTAATGACGTCATATTCAGGATTGTGGGTTAACCCGGAAGTAGCGCTAATCAGACAGATCATACAGTTAAAGCCTTTAAGTTTGATTCATTTTTATGTTTACCTGCTGAAATATTAAAACTTTAATTTGATTTAAATAAGATTTACATTTTAATGTAAATAGAGTCAAATCACAGAAGAGACGTCCATGCTGCCACACGCCCATAAGAAGAAATCTAACAAGTCACTACCTAATAAATAGTATTTCCTCACAGATCGTACCTTGGGCTGAACATGTAACGCAGTAACTCGGATTACTTTTTGAATTTAAACTTTATTAAGCCACATTTAGCTGTCAACTTTGGTATTTGACGACTTCGGACAGGTCAACAAACTTTACCACAACTTCCTGACACAGTCTTTAATGGGAGCACCTATTCAATAAAAGCCGTTTGTTCCTCGATACTTGTTCAAACCTTGGAAGAAAAGATGTAAACATATCGGTTTAAATTAGTTTCACGTGACGTCGTGTCGTCGATACCCAAACAACAACAAAACTCGTGTCTCTGCTCCAAAACAAGTAAACGTCGCCGCACAGACGATAAGAGCCGTGTACTCACACAACTGGCGAGGGAGCCCAGTGCTAGACAAGCCCCCATGTCTGTTTCTCTCAGAAACCAACTGGAGGAAGCGATCCAGAGAAACTTAAGGAAGAAACCGAAGTTAAGATGGCGGCGTCAACTTCTTCAAAAACAGTAGACAGGAATCCGCCCATTCCCTTGAAAATAAAAGGGTGAATTAACTTATGGGCGTGAACTAAGCGGGGTGTGCGCACCGTAGGGATGATTCCATTAGTTTCTTTATATACAGTCTATGGTTTTGGGCTGAATGTCCTTATTGCTATGTTCGTGCTTGTGAGGATGAGGCTTAGTTTAAATCCAAACGAAACTTTATGACACGATGCATTTTTACTCTGCTATTTACTGCGTCTTTAATTACTCCCAGGTGACAACTGGTGCCACCCAGTGGATAAAACATGCAATAGCATCTGATCACAACACTTAAAGAATACAAAAAAGTCCAAAACGTTTTGTTGTAGGAATTGAGTTGACACTTTCATTTGTATTCGAACTTCCGGTATCATTTGGTCTGGACCATAGACTGTATATAAATAAATATCTGGACAGAAGGTGCACTTTACAAAGGGCGTCGCTGCCACCAATCAGAGGCTCTACTTTCTCTGCGTTGAGCCAAACTCCGGCTGTGATTGGCTCAACGAGACGTCACTCTAAATGTTTGACGAATTGCATGTTAATGCGCATAAGAGAACCCGCCTCTTCATTATTGTCCGATCATTTACTACCACATGTTCTATACTCCACTTTAACTTTAAATGTGTTTAATGTTATTCAGCTAAACTCAACATTATATTTCTTGTATGTATAGTTGACTGATAACCAAACAAAGCTTAATATTTCTAATTTTGCATCTAATGGAGTAGAATCGTTAAATTCTAAAGTGTCAGTGTTCCCTTCTTAAAACACACTTTCATCGGAAAACCTTCCCTGATTTAATTTTCTCTTTCTGTTTATACCACATTTAATTTTATGCATTCAATTGTTTTTACCTGTTCCAGTTTAACACTGGTTATATTATAACTATTCTGTTTTAATTTGCTGCCATTGTAAAGGACATTGTAAGGTGGATTTTGAAGTATGCTATAAAATAAAGTTTAATATTTATTATTAAACTTTAATTACATAATATCAAATGTATACTTAAGTACAGTACTTGAGTTATTGTACTTTCCACCAGTTTATTTTTTCATTTTCTTCCAAAACGAGATTGAGAAACCTTTCTAAAGAATTTTACTAACAAAATATGTAAAATACTGTTGTGGAATAAACTAAACTACAAACAGTAATACTAGACTATATTAATTCAATTAACCATTTGTGTGTAAAATACTGATGGTAAAATCAATTAGGACAGTGGGATAATCCCTGAATATAAATACACTGAAAATACACATAAGATTTTGTTTTACCATAAAGTATAAAAAGAAACATTGGTCATTAAAAGCATACAATGAATACATAATAATATATATATAATTAATTAGAGTATGCAGTCACTGTATGGTCAAACTGTGCAGCCCTGTTGGAGCAAAAATTGATATTATTATTGAGTCAGTTTCACTAGAGGTGGCACACATACGGTGAGTAAACGGGCGTGACAGTGAAGGTCAGGAGAGTGAGTTAAAAGCAGCAGGGGGGCAAACAGCCATCTGTGAGAGTCTAACCTTCAGAATCATAGTGAAGGTGGTCACCTGTGAGTAATCTGCCTCAGTGCATTGGATTGTGCCTCTGATGAATGCAGGGCCATAATGAGCATTAGACCATTAATGTTAATCAGTTAACAGCCTCATTATGTAATGACAGTGTCCACATATCAGGGACTGATGCTGGTTAAAACCACAGACATTCATCTCCTTATCGTTCATGTTTTGTAGAAGGAGTAGTAATAAAAACAGAGTATGTTATTGTTTTGTGTCTCTTTACCCTGTCGGCAGCACTGAGGTCACGATGATGAATTTCACACGTTTATCAAGTTTCTCTGACTTGATTTAACAACAGTACAAACAAACAGATCAGTGGGGCTGTAAAAGAGTGTTGCCTGAGACAGTTGCAACCTTTGCTGTAAAACCCAGTTGTCTCAGGTACTATTTTCAGGTGGCAGATACAGCTACAGTACACGTGCATTCGTTTTATTATCTCTCCTAGTAGAATGAGGTGGGGACAAATTACTCAGAGATTGGATTCGATTAAATGAGTGGTGGAGAGATGATTTTCTGCCTGGGAGAGATAAACCCCTTACTGTTGAGACAATGGTACAAACCTCTGAGCAGCAGCGACAAGAGGAAAGAGCCGGATTAAGCAAGAATAACACAGGAAATCGTAGTAATGGGACTTCAAAATAAAAGTAACAATAGAATACATACTTCCCTTGTACAATAGCAATGACAGGCTACAAAAAAGCTTTCAGGTATTTTGTATCACTAAGTTAGTTAACTTCCTCTTTGTCCCTCGAGGGGCATAAGGTATGGACAATTTGCCTCACTGATACATATCACTGAATAAGAGAATATTAAGCATTCGTCAAATAACACATTTAAAGTGCATTGTGCTATGTGAATCATAACATCCATGATTTTCTATATGAACCTGTTCTCGGTGTATAGAAAGCTTCGAATCTGACAGAAAATCCAACAGTGGAAGTATTTTATCCTTTGGGCCCACAGAGCAAAATACATTATATTGAATTTTGTCAAGGTTATTTATTTGTCTGGGTAAAATGTTTTCATGATTTACAGGTAGATTTGATTGTTTAAATGTATTTTGTTGTAATTGTGATCAGTGGTGTAATTACTAGAATTTGATCTATAGTCTATTGACATGTAGTTTTTGATTATACATGAATGCAACTTGTGTATAGTTGGTTTGTGTTGAGTTTTCTTTGCAGTCTCCCACTCTTCCTCTTACATATAATTAAAGTTAGATTTCTTCCTCACCTGTAACGTCGCTATTTATTTTGAGATCCACATACAATGTGGCTATATGTTCGGGTCAGATAATTTGTATTATTCACAGGGAGACTATGTTTAATTGTTTCCTTGTACAGTAGTTATGGTATAATTATATAATCTGTTCTACATTGTTATAATTAATGATTATATATTAATGCAACTTAGGTGTAAATCGTGTATGTTTTCTCTGCCCGTCCTGACACCACCTATTTGTTCTTCTGCAATGTGCCACGTGTCCTTGTGGACACAATTCAAGTCGTATTTCTCCAGAGCCGTTCTGCTTTTACTTTGAAGACCGCCCCCCCCCCTCTGTTCCGGTGTCCTCCGGCCTAACACCGTGCGCAGTGACGCTCCTCCCCGTCGCTTGGAGCGGCGCTCGGCTCTTGGTGTTTCTGTCGGCGCCGCTCCGTCCTCTGTGCCGCGGGTCCGGCGCGTCAGCGGTGATGAAGCCGTGCAATGTAACGTGTCGCAGCGCACGGACTCCCTGACACGCTGCGCTTTCTTTTCTCTTTTCCTCCTCTTCCTCCGCTGAACATGGTGTCTGGTGGCTAGTTCCAACTCCGGACTGCTCGTGTGGTTTTTAATTCCCCCCTCGGCGAAGCGCACTGAGATCAGTTGGTGAGTGGTTGCGCACATACACACGGTCACCTGTTCTGCTCCACAGGTAGGACACCAGACTGCTGCTGCTGCTGCTGCTGCCTGCAGCATCCACCTCACACACGGGCTGCAGGAGCAGCTGCAGGTTACAAGAGAATACAGACGGAACCAGTGAGACATGCTGGACACTGCACAGAGGTTAGACACAGAAACTAATCCAAACAACAAAAGGAGCTGAAACAACGAATGATGTGATCCACAGTAATCACATGAGCTGCAGGCTTCTTAATACTGAGCAATATTCTACAGCGACAGTACAGTTCACTCCAGCGTTCCACCTGTCACCTCCATACAGGCTCCCTGTGCTGAGTGTGCATCAGCTGGACCGGTTTATCTAAAGGTGCACAAACTGTGACCTTCAGACTGGCCCCTGTGATGTGGTGAAATTGTTAAAATGTTAGAAAAGAATGAGTAGTAACAGCAGAAAAACAAAAGGGTTTCATTACACTTGAACAGAATGCAGTTAGAATGAAAGTTAGCTCACATAATGCCTGTGTCTGAGGGCCAAAGCAAAGGGCCATTTTGTTCCTGTGTGCAGTGATATACTGTGTTGCTAGGTATGATTCACCTCAATGAGATGCTGAATATCTAAAACCTCGTAAAAGAAATCTCATCACCCTATGCTGAAAATATTTGAGAAATCATGGAAAGCAGTCTCATATTTTAGAAACTGGAGCAAAAGTATATTTTCTTCTGTTTTGCAAAATGAATGAAATACATTTTTATTTTAGTTGTTGGTATTTAGTAAAATAAAAATTCCAAAGCTCCTTTCACATAATGTGACAACAAAACAAGTCACATCTGTCAGAAAAACACATTCATTTGTGTTGAAGAAGTTTACTTTTGTTGTCCAGTTTGTGTGTGTGTGTGTGTGTGTGTTTTGGGCCTTTCATTGTCCTTATCCTTGAGAGAGCATCTAATCACATTCAAGTGCCACGTGTGTGCAGGTGAATGTGAGGCTGGAAATGTTCCCAAAGAGAAGCACAGATTTGAATATTCTCGCTTCAGCTCCCCCACTTGTGTGTTTTCACACTGTGTTAATTACTCGTGCATTCGGTGGTATTTGAAAATCCGTCTCATTTCTTCGGCTCGGCTGTTGTGGTCTTTCTGTGATCGCCTGTCAATCAGACCGTGTGGGTTAAATACTGGGCCTTGAATTTTCTTTGAGTTCTTTATGTCGCTGATAAATTTGGATCTGGCCGTCTGGGCTGTGCTTGCTCTCACTGCTCATGTTAACCTTCAAATGCTTCTGTTGTCTCGATGAAATTTAGAGAAATAGAAAGCATCACTTGAAAGACTATTGGAAACAGTAAATGTGAGAGGGTTCATAAACAAGTATTAATGTTTTACAGATACACAATATTTAAATTTAATGTTATGAATATTAATATCTTGTGTATTCCCTTAAAGCTTCAGAAAAAGATTCATTTTTGTCTTTCAGTGGACACAACACTGACCCATTATGACGAATGTTGCCTGTTCGTTCATTCAGCACACATAATAACACGTTGATGGCTACTGG